ATCAGCACATATTCCTGGCATGTGCCTTAGTAATAATAATTAAAAAAAAAATCTGAACAGACTTGAAAATTACAACTTTTGTGTAATGTAAAAAAGGTGTATTCAGCTTGTTAATTACAGGGAGTTGTGTCATTGGAGTGTTATCAATGACCCATTTAATTTTACTGTAATTACTGACAAAATAAGACAAGGATAGATCACAATACAGGATATTCCTCTTTCGGAACAATATTGTGCTGGAAGTCGAGCTAATGCGTAGCATAAACAAACATTTGTAGAAAATGCTCCTGCTGGCAAAATTTCGTAAAGTCACGATTCTGCTTTTTCTGCCGACTCGGAACTCCCATCGGGCGAAGGATCGGGGCCGTTCCAATGCGAGGGGGCAACGCAGTATGTCCTCTCGGTGAGACGAGAGGGGAAGCAAATCTCTGCTGAGGCGCCGACTGACCGTCCCGCCCTTCCACCGAGGTGTGCCTCGGCGTTCCCTCTGCAGTGTCGGTCCCGGGAACTGAACTGGGAGATGACGCTCCCGGCCCACCTGCCCACCGGGACCTGCTGTCGCCCTGGTGCGGCCGCCGGCTACTGCGGAGATCAAACGTGTGGGGAGATCGATACTACTTTTAGGCGCAGAGAAAAGATAAAGCTCATTTTCAAAGCCAGTAGAAATTAGAAACTAGAAACTAGAAAGGAGCGAAAACAGAAAGGCTTGGATAGACAAACTCTTCGGAAAGGGACAGTTTATCGACATTGGGGAGGGAATGGTGATGCAGAATTCTTTTAGAAAAACGGCTCCAGCCCCCCTTCTATCTGGCACAATAAATAAATAAATGGAAGCACCTACACGGAACAGCCGTCTGCCCTCCGGACGCTTTGATTTTGCCCGGAACAGGCTGGCCCTGAGTACACCCCTGTGCTCCGTGTCGCGCCCCGTCCCCAGCACCCGCGCCCCGCAGGGCGGGCGGCTCCGGGCAGCCGAGCCTTGCCGGCCCCGGGCGCGGAGGGCAACTGCCTGCTCTCATAACGACTTCAGAAACCTTTCGGCCCCGTCCTGTACCATACTCAGTGTCCCCCGCCATGCCTCCCGACTTTACCCCAGGGCATCCCGCAGGGCGGTTTCTGTACTGGTGGTCCAGGTTGCCCCCTCCCCTCATGCTCCCAGCGCGGCGGTAGGCGACCCTTTGGCTGGGGTGCAGATACAGGGAAAGCGGCCTGGGAGCCAAGCCGACGTCCCCCAGAGTCTCCCCGGGGAGCCGCAGTGTGGTCCCGCAGCGGGGCCACCACTCGGGTCGCGCTGGTGTCGCGACAGTCCGGGCTGTCTGGGACCGGCGGCCGGGAGCGGGGCGCGCCGAGACGGTGGCAGGACAGCCCTTACCCTCGTCACGCTTCCAGTTGGTTGGCACGGCTCTCCTGGGCGAAGGGGGGAGACATTTATCGTCAGGGAATTTTAGCCCTTTTCTTCCCCTCCCTTTTCTTTTCCCCCCCTTCCCTTTCATTCATAAACCTGGTGGCTATAGACGCAGCTTGAATATTGACGTCTCTTCCCCCAACTGCTCCACCGTTAACCCAATTACAGAATTCATCAAGAACTGTGTTGAATTATCTCTTTCCATACAGTATCAGCATTAGCCTAATTAAAAGCTATAATGTCTGATATAATGATTAAATCGTTAGCTCTGCTGTAGGGAAGCAATATTTTGTTTTCCCTTCAATTAGAAGCTGATTGAGGTTTTCAGAGCAGGTCAGCTGTGAAATTTGAATTATATGTGTGAGTACCGTTCACAGGGTGAGCCCCTACTCGAAAGCTCCAGAGATTCTCCATACGCTTTTACCCAGCAAGCTGGGAAAAGACAACAAAACACAGAGAGAGCCCGTAGCTGATTTGGGACTGGGGTTGTAGGATCGCACGGAACAGTAGTTAAGACTGGAAAAGAAAGTGAGACTTTATTCAGGTGCCCTTTTTCCACCATCCCACCTCGACTGGGTAGCAGGTCGTCCACAAGTCTCCTCCGAGGCAGGAAAGGGCTTCCTCTCTCCCCCTTGCCTACCCTTTCTGCTCCCTTATGGTTGCTCGCCTTGGCCCGGGTAACGGCACCCCGGGAGCGAGGGAGCGCTTCGCGTTTCGTGCGGGCCAGCGGCTTTTGCAGTGAAGTGCCAGAGGAGCTGCAAGCGATCCCCCCACCTCCCCACCCTGCGTTTCAGGCAGGGCTGGCGCGGGATCAGCCAGCATCACTCTTAATAATCTCCCCATAGTATCGCCCCGGCGCGGACTGGCGCTCACCGGTCTCGACCTGGGGCGAGGGCGCGGGAGGCACGGCGGCAGCCAGCAGACGGCGATCGCCGCCTGCTCCGGGGCGCCCGGCTCGGCCCCGCCGCCCCTTGGCCCCCTCCTCGTCCGCGGCGGCACAGAGGGCACAGCGTCGGCCGGGCCCGCGGCGGGCGACCCCCGCCCCGAGGGGGCGGCCCTCCTGCCGCAGCCGGGAGCGGGGGGAGGCGCGTCCCGCCGCACAGCGCAGAGGTGGGGGGTAGCGGAGGCCGAGGGAGGCACTTGTCAGTGCGACCGGCCCGCGAACGGGCCCCGCCGGCACCTGTCCACTCCGCGGGCTCGGGCGGTGGCCAGGGCTGCGAGCTGACTTTTAGTTCTTCCCGCACTGGGAACAGGACTTTCCCTTTGGCTCCTCTGCAGCGTTCACCCAGCACACACCGCTTCCCGGGGCCGCCTCCACCTATTCGTTTCACCACCCGACCCCTGGTTCTTGGCAACCCACTTTCCTCTTGGGGAAAGCCCAAGTACCTCCCATCTCCGGGCACAGCCCCCGGCCGCGTTACCCTAGCCCCGTAGACTTCTTTTGGCTTTTCTCCCCTGTCAAATGACACTCGCAAAAGCGCTTGACCTCGTTCCTTGTCCCGCGAACAGGGATCCGCGCTACCTTTACCACGGAAGAAAAGCCCCTGTCTGCCCTCCCGAGCTGGTTTTTATGTCTCCTCTCCCACCCCCCTCTACCCCCTGTTCAGTCGATACACATCCTCCAGCCGCCGGAGAACTGGGTGCGCCTGAGCCAGAGGCAAGAGGGCTCACGGTAGCAGCATATCCTTGCTCCTCGCTCCCTGTCTGCATTTCACCCCCAAAAAGACCGCGTTCGTGGTAGTTTGGCTGCTTTTAGGAGAGGGAAGGGGCGCTCTGTGTTTATCTGCCGGGGGTGGAAGGAAAGAGAGGGAAACCCCACACGGACAAAAATCCCAGGAGGGGGGCAGCCTCAGGGGCTTCCAGATGAGCGATTGCCCTCACACCAGAGAAGGGAAGACAGGGTCAGCCTCCTCCACCGTTTACCTGCATGTGAGGGAGAGGGAAGCTGGTGTGTTTCACCAGTTCCTAGGGATAAGCATATGTTCCCATGGGGACTTCTGGCTGGCAGGATGCAAGGAACTCCTCTGGAAAAGGTTGGCCTACAGAGATTCGACCCATTTATTTATCAGGAGGCCCCTAGGTACCTTAATATCAAATTTCAGGGAGAAATACCACTAAGGCCTTGAGTGGATGGATAATGTGCGAGCCATGTCATTTATCTCGCAGTTTTTACTCCTAATATCTTCATTTGGCCATCCAAGTGGAAACGTGCCTTTCTGCAGAAACGTTCTCTCCCTTCACCCTCCCCTCCTACCTCAACCAATTATATTTTAAATACATAATTTAGCAATCACAGCAGCCTCGCTTGTTTTGCCACAGCAGATGTGGCAACTTGAGAAAATATCAGCTGGAGAAACATGTGTCCAATCCTGCACTACCTCCTGTCCCCTCTTGGAACCCCTAAGGCTGACTAGAAGGGAACAGGATCCTCCCAAAAGCATGCCCATCTGAGCTAACATCATCACTCAGGCTGAGCTCAAAAGGCCCAGAAGCAGGCCAAGCCTTTGGACAGCAGCAATTGAGAGGTGCTTTCCTCTTGCCAGAAAACCCAGATTATCATGGTGAGATCACTATTTCACAACAAGTCATTGGAAATGGGAAAAAAAAAAGTCTAATCGTAGCCCAGCGCCTAAGGATGGTGCTTTGTGCATGGTGTGTACTCTTACTGCAGAAAACTTCTGGTGGTAATACCAGTAGCTGGGGAAGCTGCGGCATGATTCCAGCCTTGAATGGCCACTAGGGTCAGGAGAATTTACACTCACAGACCATGAAAAGAGCAGGGATGCATGTGTCCCTTTCTCCACCCGACAAAAGATGATGGGGGCAGCAGTTTATATCTGCGTGGGCACTTGTGCGACAGAAATGCCATCCCTATGGCTGCAATTAAAGATTGCAGCATGAATTTCCACGTGGACCATTTTCTCCCCTCTGTAAAATAACTAAAATCTCACAGAACAGCCAAGGCACAAGGGTAGTCTTTTAATATTTTCAAGGGGGAAAAAAAAAAGTCATACACCTGTACTTACTCTATATCAATATAACATATTTTTTCATGTATCTTCTTTAGTCGCAGGTAATTTCAAATCCCCTAGGACTAAGTGAATAATGACTGCGTCCAGTCTCTGTTTCATGCCCGGGCCTAGTTTTAACTCTGCCTCGTGCCTGGGAGCAGTTTTAACACCTGGGAGAGACGTCTGAGGGGGCTCTGGAGAAATCTCCAGAACGGACGAAGTCCCGAGGAAAAGGCAGTCTTAGGCGCCGCTCGCACCGGTTCTGTGGCGGGGCGGACAGCCTGGGGCGCCTCAGTCCCCCTAAATACCGCTCGACGGTCGCCTAAGCGCGGGCCGGGCCTGCCCGGGGCGCTGCCCGTGGGGCGGGCGGGTTGGCCGGGATGGCGGGATGGGGCTCTGTTGTGTCCCCGCCTCGGGGGCGCCCCCTCCGCCCGCGCGCCCCCCCGCGCGCGGCGCGCCCCGCCGCACGTCACCGCCCGGCGCGCGCCATATGCAAATCACGGCCCGGCGGCGCACCCCCATTGGCCGCCGGCAGGCGATTTAAGGCGGGCTCGGCGCGCGCCGTATGGCTGCGGCGTCGTTCGCCCGCGCGCCCGGCGGCTCCTCCTCCTTCTCCTCCTTTCCCGGCCCCGTCCCGGCCCCGTCCCGGCCCCTTCCCGGCCCGTCCCGCCCGGGCCGCGGGAGGGAGACCACCGCCAGCAAATTACTGTGCCGCCGCGCCCCGGCCGCCGGGCTCGGCGCGTGTTTTGGTTGGGCTTCTTCCCCCACCCCCTCCCTCCCCTGATCCTCCTCCCGCTTTTTTTTTTTTTTTTTCAGTTAACGTTTAAATACTTTTTTTTTTTTTCACCTCCTTTTCGCGTGGCGGTGGGTTCTCCTCTCTTCTGCTCCGTTCACCTGCGATCAGCGGATGCAAGTCACACACGCTCTCTCCCCTCCCTCCCTCTCTCTCTCCAAGTTAGCAGCAAAGAACAAAAAAAAAATAGCTCCGTTAAGGATAAGAGAGGGAGCGGAGGGGTGTGCGCGCGTCTGCCGGGGAGCGCCGGCGAGTGGAGGACACCGCCGACGGCTCCGCACACTCCTCCCGCCGCGCCAAGTGAAGGAGCAAGTTTGCCGTGCACCTGTTTGAGCAGCTCGAACTCCCGTCGCCGCCGAGCCCCGAAAGTGGTTTGCAAAAGGGAGAAAGTTTTTCGCCGGTGGGGTTGCCGATCGCCCTCCTCGCGGTTTTCTTCTCCTCTTTTTTTTTTTTTCCTTTCTTTTTTTTCCACGGCGGTAGCTACCTAGATACGAACGGGTTTCACCTCGCTCGCTCCCCGTCCGCCCGGGCTCCTCTATGTTTGATTCATTTTTCACGTCTGGCGCCGGTGGAAAATAAAAAAGCTACTTGAATGTACAGCATGATGATGGAGACGGACTTGCACTCCCCCGGCGGAGCCCAGGCCCCCACGAACCTCTCGGGGCAGACCGGAGCGGGAGGCGGCGGAGGAGGCGGCGGCGGCGGCGGCGGGGGAAACAAAGCGAACCAGGACCGGGTCAAGAGACCCATGAACGCCTTCATGGTGTGGTCGCGGGGCCAGCGGCGGAAGATGGCCCAGGAGAACCCCAAAATGCACAACTCGGAGATCAGCAAGCGCTTGGGGGCCGAGTGGAAAGTCATGTCGGAGGCCGAGAAGAGACCGTTCATCGACGAGGCGAAGCGGTTGCGGGCGCTGCACATGAAGGAGCACCCGGATTATAAATACCGGCCCCGGCGGAAGACCAAGACCCTGCTCAAGAAGGACAAGTACTCGCTGGCCGGGGGGCTGCTGAGCGCCGGCTCGGCCGCGGGAGGCCCGGCCGGTGTCGGCGTGGGCATGGGCGTCGGCGTCAGCCCGGGCGGTGTTGGGCAGCGGCTGGAGAGCCCCGGCGGCACGGCCAGCGGCGGCTACGCGCACATGAACGGCTGGGCGAACGGCGCCTACCCGGGCTCGGTGGCGGCGGCGGCGGCGGCGGCGGCGATGATGCAGGAGGCGCAGCTCGCCTACAGCCAGCACCCGGGCAGCGGGGGGCACCCGCACCACCCGCACCCCCATCACCCGCACCATCCGCACAACCCGCAGCCCATGCACCGCTACGACATGGGCGCCCTGCAGTATAGCCCCATCTCCAACTCGCAGGGCTACATGAGCGCCTCGCCCTCGGGCTACGGCGCCCTGCCCTACGGCTCCCAGCCCCACCAGAACTCGGCGGCGGCAGCGGCGGCGGCGGCGGCGGCGGCGGCCGCCTCCTCGGGGGCGCTGGGCGCCCTGGGCTCGCTGGTAAAGTCGGAGCCCAGCGTGAGCCCGCCCGTCACTTCGCACTCGCGGGCCCCGTGCCCCGGGGACCTGCGGGAGATGATCAGCATGTACTTACCGGCCGGGGAAGGTGGTGATCCGGCGGCAGCTGCCGCCCAGAGCCGGCTCCACTCCCTGCCCCAGCACTACCAGAGCGCCAGCACGGGGGTGAACGGCACCGTCCCCTTGACGCATATCTGAACCCCCGCCGGCACCGGAGCGGCGGAGGCAGGCTCGGGTGCGAGCACTGGCTCGGCTTTCGGGCCCCGGCCGCGGCCCCGGGCCGTTCCGCTGGACTGCGCGCCCCGCCGCTGCCACCGCACGCTCAGCCCCGGCCGCCCTCCCGCGTCCCGGCCCCGCGCCTCTCCTGCCCCGCTCCCAGGTTCCCCCTCTTATTTTTGCCTCTCGCGCCCCTTCCCTCCCGCCCTTCCCCGCCTCTCTTTCTTTTTTTTTTTTCTTTCTTCCTTCCTTTTTGTACAGAAATGTTTTGATGTTCTTGTAATAATAATAATAAATAATAATAATAATGACGAGAGAGAAAAAAGGTAACGGTTGCTTTACTTACCTTTTTTTTTTTTAGAAGGACTAGTTTATGAAACTAGTTTTAAACTGAACTTCCGTGTTTTATCGAGACTTTTTGTACAGTATTTATCATTCACCCAAGAGGCATAGTGCGTTTATTTGCAAAAGAAGAGAAAGAGAAAATAAGGGAGGAAAAAAGGAGAAAGGGGGGGAAACGATGGTGGAAAGACAAAAAAATACCAACAAAAAGTTGTAGGCGATGCCAACTTTTATACCGCGTGGAACTGCTACGATTTCAGTCACGGATCACTTCTTGCGAAGGCTTTTTATTGACTAATTAACTCGAAGTTGATGAGGAAACAGTTCTCATTTATTACTCATGTACTAAAGCAAATCCAAAAGAACAATTAAAAAGTTTTTTGTAGATATTCTCGCGGTTTTGTTGGGTTGGGGTTTTTTTGTTACTTGTTTGTTTATTTATAAAACTTTTGTTTTTCTTTTAGGAGCTACATTTTTTTCCCTGAGGTTTGTAAAATTTTATTGTATCTGGATATTTTTGTTTGTTTGTTTTCTCTTCGGTTTTGTTTTCTTTTTGTATCATTTCTTGTAAATGCATTGTGAAATAATTTTTATTTAGGCATTATGAAGGAATTCAGATTTTGTACATAGTTTACTAAAAAGCTTTTCTGCTAAACAGAAATCCGAAGGATGCGTCCTTTTTTTTTTTTTTTTGAGTTAAATAAATTTCAAAGCGGAAAAAGTCACCTGGTTTTTAAAAACAAACAAACAAACAAACAAACAAAAATTTCCCGGAGAACTTAGTAGTGTTTACCATGGTAAACCTAGAAATACAGCGGGTAAACCTAAATTTTGGGGAGGAAGTTTTAAACAGCAGCTGCAAACAGAAGGAAGTGCAATCTGCAGTAAATATCGATGTTCCCTAACCTGTGTAAATCGGGAGGGATGAAGGTAGATTTATTTTAATACTCGTTCCCTACTGCAAGGGAAAGCCTCTTACTGCGTTACTCTTCTAACCGTGAACATTTATTTTGTGGACTTTATGGCTGGGCTGGTGGTCTAATCCTTGCCGGGGCAGCAACTTTCCCCTTGGGGGGTAATCGGGTGCTGCCCACCCCTGCTCGCCTCGGGTCCCCGCTCGGCCGGGAGTTCCCGCCGGCCCAGGGGGGGCACCTACCTCCCCTGGAATCGAGAAGGCACCGGTCAGGGAGGCACTTCCCCTCTAATTTACACCTTGAAAAGAGAAAGAGCTTAGTTTTGCTCGTCTCGAAAAGAAAAGCGACTTCTAAACCTCAAGCCCGAAAAGTAGCCCCATCCCTCCGGAGCATCCCGGGGGGCGAGCGCGGAACAGAGGGGTCACACGTTTCTGTCCCCTCCGACGGCCCCCCCTCCCCTCAATTTTCAGCGACTGGTGCTAAAGCTGTCGAGCAAAACGATGCATGTCAGTTCGTTGCAGAATGTTGTTCAGTGCTTTGAAATTTAATTTTTTTTCTAGCTGTCGGTCGATACTTTTCGATATGTTAGAATTAAAAGTTTGCTGTAAACTTCTGTAGCAAATGAATTTTTAAAATAGTTATAACTACTTAAACAAAAGGAAACAAAATTAACTTCCGTGACTGTAATGTCGGCGGCAGCAGGCTGTAGGACTTTTTAAATTATCTTTTAGCGCTGGCGAATAAATACTTCGTCCATAATGAGTGCGGAAGTTTTAGTTGGTTAATGAGGAGAGGTTTTGGTCCCTGTTAGAGATTGCACTTCTTCTATAATGCTTACATGTCAATTGACATATATAACTCTTCCGAGTTATGTTGATAATTTTGTATAAATCACTCATGCTTTAAACTGAACATAGAATTTTCATGGAAGGTGTCTGTTGATTTCAACCGAAAATAAGCCCCACACTTTTTTTTTTTTTTCAACTATTTGAGCCTTTATCATAGCGAGGTGTGTGCGGGTTCAGTCGACAGGCGACTTTTGGAAATGTTCACCCTCTGAACAGAGCACACAGAAAGCAGGAAACTGTGAGAAAACTTCCCTGGCGTCGGTTACCTCCAGCCAAACACAATCCTAGATGTAATTTAAAATATTATTAGCCGTACCTTTAGATATGCATATTAGGCTGGCTACCTGTTGAACTGTTTCTTGAAATGTGTTTTCCTTCATGTGCATACTACGTACTCGTAAATATCTATACACACTGTAGATAGCATCATGACCGAAGAGGAGTGTGTGTGTGTACATATGCACATGCAGACACATATACATCTGATGCAACCCTGTTACGTGTCTTTTCTTTAAGGATCATAGCTATTGAAAATCACATTTGCTGACTATGCAGAATAGAAAAATCCCAGTGAGACGATCCTGTATCGCTGAACACGTCTGATGGAATAGGAGGACTGGGACGGTCAAGGGAGAAAAGCAAATAAACATCTGTTTATTTGCGTCCAAACAACAGAAATACTACGGGGAAACGCTTAAAAAAAAGAAATATTACTGTTCTCTAAATGATCTCCTTTTAACGAGTTTTCCCTCCTACCCTCAGAATTTTGCGGCTCAATGGCGTTATGCCTAGAATAATGGGAATACCTGCACTTTCAACACAAGCGGATTAAACAGACCCAATCTCGGTTATATTCAAATAAGCTTCGAATATTCTCAGCCCGCCTTTCAAAGAAATAAATTTTGCTCTGCGAAAGGCAACCCTCCAAATGAAAAAAAAAAATCAAAAAACCCCCACAAAAACCCCATCAAACAAAAAACCAAAAAACTCCACTACAAAATACCAAAAACACACACACCCCTCCCCGCCCTCCCCGAAACATCATCAGGGTAGAATTTTTTGCTGCTTTTTTTGTTACTTGTGTTTTACTGGTTGGTTTGGCAGTTCACTTTACTTAAGTTAAACTTCACGTTTGGGTATACAAACGAAACAGCTTTCCTAGGCAGATGAGTTGGGTTTAGGTACAGTAAAATAATTAGGTCTTCCGGCTTTTTGCTGTGCGAGTTATATATAAGAGAATAATTGAATATGCAAAACTAAGAATAGGTTTAAGCGATTTATGGTTTAAGTACATTAAATCTAAAATTGTATGAAATGTTCCTCCTTTAACATGATTGACAGAGCTATTAAAATCGCGTATGTGGAAGAATTAAACCAAAAAGTCATCTCGTTTTCAGTAAAAGGAAGGACAATCCAGGGAGTAAGGCGAAGGGGAGCGCGGTGGAGGTGCCCTCTGCGGAGTTAGGCTGCATGTAGCGTGGGGAGCTTGGGGTCAAGGCCCCCCATGGGCCAGATCCCGCCCCCGCGGTCAGCGCTCTGACGGAGGGTCCATCTGCCCCGGGAGGGGGGCGGCGGCAGAGCAGCCAGAAGGACAGGAGGCACAGAGCGATAACAGATTTGATCCGCTCCAAACTTCGAGCCAAAACGCAAACTTGGCCTGAACTCCACAGCTCTTTCCCAACGGTTCTCCCCCCACTTTTTTTCCCCCCTCTCCTTCCCCCCACCGTACATGGCTCGCTGAGCTCGTAGGAGTGGCGCTGGGCCCCGGGGAAAAGCCGTTCCCTCCAGTTCCACTCCTCCGTGCCCTCAGCCGGAGTCACACCGCAACAGGCGCCTGGCGGGGCATCGATGGGACGGCTCCGAGCCTCTGGGAGCAACGGAGTGGGGGAGGAGGGCACATTAAATCATCCATGAAGATAAAAAGATGGACGATTCCAGAAATCAGAGCCAACGAGCCCGGAGGGCTACACCGGGACAAGAAGCCCCACGAAATGCTCCTTCACTGGACAGAGGGGTGGTGAGGACCCTCCCTCCCAGCTGCGCCACATGCAGATGACATCAGGCCGGGTCACCTGAACGTCTGACGAGGTTATAGCTTTTCTTATCATGCGTAAACTGCCATGGAAGAAAAAAAAAAAAAACAACGTTAAAAAAAAGGCACCACAACATCACACATACACACTCCCCCGCTGAAAACTAAATGAAACGGCTGATCTGAGAGTTTCTGTAGAGTAAAATTGAACTAAAAGACACGAACTGACAGGTGCCTGTGGGTTATCTGGACAAGATGCGCTCCCGGGCCTGGCGCCGACTCTCTCCCACGCCCCGCAATACCCCCGCCTTTCCCGGGCACTTACCGACCCTCCCCTGCCCTTTTCTGCCCCGCCCTCCCCCCTTCGCGCACACTTTCTGCCAGCTCCCCCCAGTAAGCTCCAGCTCTCCCTTTCCCTCCTACACTCAGCAACACGTGGGGAGTGCCGGGAAGGGGCAGTCCCTTGGACGCGGACAGCGTCAGGGTGTCCGTCTGTCCGCGTGTCCGTGTGAACGTGCGGGGGCCTGATCTTGCTAAGCAAGTACCCCAGAGTCGTGGAGCAGTAGGCCTGGGGAATGTTGTTCGTGGGGTGCGAGTGGGTATCTGCGAGCTGCAGCCCCAGGAAATGAAGTGCCCCCGATGCCGTCGGAGGGGCTGCAAATGAATGATGCAAGAGGGAAACGGGGGTGGAAGGAGGCGAGAGGGGTGAGAGAGAGGGAGGGAGAACGCGGGGACAAGGGCGGGGGGTGGTGTTTGGAGAGCGAGGGATTAGCGAGGAGAGTCCTGACCCCGGGATCAACGGCCAGTCAAACCCGTTTACAATCACTCGGCGGAATACCGACGGCTCCCGCTGCAGGCCAGCGGCCGGCCGGGCAGCCAGCGAGACCAGACCCCGC